CGTCCTAGCTTCCTTATTTCTACGTTTCATTTTCCCTAAGACTCTGTGACTATTATCACACCTCCTTTTCTTTCTTTTTTTTTTTTTTGAGTCGGAGTCTCACTCTGTGCCCACACTGGAGTGCAGTGGTACACTCATGGCTGCCCCACTGTCAGCCTGTGGGCTCCGGCAATCCTTCTGTCTCAGCCTTCCAAGTAGCTGGAACTGCAGATGTGCGCCATCACGCCTGGCTAGTTTTTTTTATTTAATGTAGGGATGAGGTCTCGCCAAGTTACCTAGGCTGGTCTCGAACCCAAGGGCTCAGGCAATTCTCTCACCTTGACCTCCCAAAGTACTGGGGTTACAGGCGTGAGCTACCGCCCCCGACCTTGTCACACCTCCCTTTCTAACGAGCTTTTGGTCATGTCTGCTTCCTAATATGCGCTCTTGGTCACGTTAGCTGACTACTTTCCATTTTATGAAAATAAATCATCTATTATCTCTCGCACATGGAAACTTGCTTGGGGCCTGTCAACTCTTAGTTATGGACAGTTTCAACAAACTTAGTTATCTGATTTTAGTTTTGTGTTTGTTTGTTGTTGTTGTTTTGTTTTTGAGTCAGAGTCTCACTCTGTCACCAAGACTGGAGTGGATGATCATGGCTCATCATGGCCTCGACCTTCTGGACTCAAGTGATCCTTCTGCCTCAGCCCCCTAAGTAGCTGGGACTACAGGCATGCACCACTATGAATGGCTCATTTTTTATTTTTTTGCAGAGACAAAGTCTTATTATGTTGCCTAGGCTGGTCTCAAACTCCTGGGGTCAAGTGATCCTCCCACCCCAGCCTCCCAAAGTGCTGGGATTACAGGTGTGAACCACTGTGCCCACCCTAGATTTGGAACTGCAAATCAGAGGAAGGGGCTGCTTCATGGGGGACAGTTGGGCAGACATCCGTCTTCGGTTTTTCCCTTCCTGGTCTCAGGCTTGCAGGCCGTTTCCGTTTATGAGGTGTCAGAAGCCACAGCCATCACCACCACGGCAACTGGCTACCAGGAGTCCCACCTCAGTGCCGCTAGAGTGAAGCAGCTGGTATCTTCCAGGACCCAGTGGGGGGCAGAGGCCATGGGTGGGGTGGGGCAGGGCTGGGCAGGCCTCCTACTTCTGCCTGAATTCTGCCAGGTGTTGGCATGTCCTCAGGCCCTGACCCTGCTCCTGAACTGGGACTGGGCTCCTCTGAGTTGTGCCTTCCTGCTGCCTCCCATCTCCCCCTACACGCCCTCCCTTCAGGATCCTGGAGGGATCCAAGGGAAAGTCCAACGGGCCAGGTCACACACCTGGCAGCCTTCAACCCTTCAGGAGGAAGCCACCCTCCTTGTCTACCACACCTCACCTGGTCAGTCTCTTCACACAGCCCTGCCTTACGGACCACCCAGTGTCAGCTGAGTCACGCCATCATGTCTCCAACACACAGTTTCCACTTGCCCTCAATGCTCCATCCCTTCTCTTTTTGCTTCCACTGGGTGACCTGTCCTTTCGGTCCCAGCTAAGATATCTGCCCCTCTGGGGAACATCCCCAAGCCTTGGACACAGACTAGCCTTATGCCCTGGATTCCAAAGCCCCTTGTGCTTGCTGCTGTCTTGACAGAGAAGCTTTTCAACACACACACACACACGCACACACACACACACACACACACACACACACACGTGTGCACACACTGTTGCCACCATCTGGGCACATGGATCACTGTCCGCTGGGCCACCCCTCCCTGACCCAGCACCTCCTGGGGACCTCAGGCAGAGGTGCTGCTAGTAGGGGACAAATGGGCGCATCTGAGGTAGAGTGGAAGGGCTCCCCGATAATGAACCTGCCTGGATGACAGCCACACCATGGTGGGGAGCAGCCGTAAGCAAGCTTAGACTTGGGGTAAGGTGGAGGCAGAGATGATGCCTGGAAAGGGATGGGTCTGGATTTTCAATGACCCTGAATGCCAGGATGAGGAGCTTAAATTGTCTTTGGGCGGAAAACTTTTGAAGAGGCCAGGGCTCCAGTGGGAGCCACACTGGGGAGGGAGCCACTGAAGGGGCACACCTGGGCCTGTCCCTGATGACTGATTTTCTTCTTTGTCTCAGGTCCCCCCAGGGTCTCTGCACTCACACTCTTGACCCTGTGGGGTCCTGTGCCCTGGAGGGTCCCCCTGGTTCTGAGTCATTCAGGTCTTCCTCACCTTGAGGTCTCACTCCCCTGAGAGCTGCTGTCCCTCCAGACCTCTCCTTGCTGGTCACCCGCACTGCTCTCTGGCACCTTCTTGTCATTTGCTCACTCTTGCCTTTTCATTCTTGTATTATGGTAGACACTCCCTGAGGGCAGTCGCTGCACTCCTGGTGTCTTGCACACACCTGGCACAGGGCTGCAGTGAGGGTGCACCAGAGCTGGGTCAGGCCTAGCATCACCCTTGGGTGATACGTGGCAGGACATGGAACTAGGCAGTGTGTTGCCCAAGGGACGAGGGCCGTCCTGTCCTCTTGTGAGGCAGCTGGGATGACTCTTCCACATGTCCCTGCCCTTACTCCCTGCCTTGGCTGTCAGCTTTCCTGCTTGTTCAGCCCTGTCAGCCCCCCACATGGTGTGTAGCACAAGCTCTGAACCAGCCATTTGCTGTGAGGCTCTGAAAAGCGGAGCATAAGCCAGGCTCAGTGGCTCAGCCTGTAATCCCACGCCTTTGGGAGGCTGAGGTGAGTGGATTGCCTGAGCCCGCGGGTTCGAGACCTACCTAGGGAACTTGGCGAGACCACATTTCTACAATAAATCAAAAATGAGCCAGGCGTGGTAGCGCACGCCTGTAATCCCAGCTACTCGGAAGGCTGAGGCGGAAGGATCGCCGGAGCCCAGCAGGTCGAGGCTGCGGTGGCCGGGGAGCGACCACTGCACTCCAGTCTGGGTGACAGAGTGAGACTCCAACTCAAAAAATAAAAAAAAAAGAAAGAAAAGCGGAGCATGTCTGGAGCAGAGGAGGTGGCAACACACTTGCTTGAAGGGAGGCTTCCAAGGGGACGTGGCCTTTCGTCTGGGCTCAGGAGAACCAGGGTTTTGTGCCCCGCATGTGATAGGTGGCCTGGAGCAAGACGAAGACCTGACACCTAGGCCTGTTCTGTTCTGCCTGTGGGTGGCATGGTGTTTACCTGCTCTTGACCTGTGACCACCTGGGTCTGATGGCCTTGGTACTGGGGACAGGTTCTGGTGGTCCCTGGCAGATAGAGCGGCTGTACTGCCAGCCCCATCTGAAAGGCATCTTCTAGGGCTCAAGCAGGCAGGGGCTTGGCCTGTGGCCTGGCTCCATGCCGGAATGTGATTTTAGTCAGATGCCTCCAGGTCCATCTGTCTAATTCAGGTCACACCCAAGACTGTGAGGTGGGCCAGGACTGGCAGGAGGAGACCCTCTTTTGTTTTCTGTTTAGCTCTTATCTAATCACTTACTTCCTTAATGCTCATTTCTCCACTAAAATGTAAAGACCTCAAAGGACAAGGGCTGTTTGTGTCTAGTCCCTGCTGCGTAGAACTGCCCTGTCCACTACGGTAGCTGAAAGGGTAAACTGAGGCAAGGTGGACTGGTGCCGCGCGAATAATGCAATATTATGACAGAGAAAGAAGTTAAGTTTATTATTTACTTTCCACAGACTAAAAGGGGCCAGCACTCAGTAGGCGAGTGTGACTCAAAGGCCTGAGAACTGGGTGTATTTAAGGGCCCTTGGGACAAAGGGGGTTTGAACTTGGAGGGGTCTGGACCAGAAGGAATGTCCAGGGCTGTGTTCTTTGATGTCGATACCAGCCAACATATGTCTTGGATCTTGACATCACCAGGCACCAGCATCTCATGACTGGTAACAACGTATCAATATGAATGCCTGGAAGATAGATTAATGGTAGCACTGGACATGCTTAAGGGGTTTTGAATACTCACTGAGTTCTAAGGCCTAACCCTGGGAAAACTAGTTCTGGGAAAAGCGAATTTCCTGCTAATGATTATAGGGTAGGAATGTGCAGGCTACTCAGCAAAGTGTGCCAGGGCAAAGCTAAGCAAAATGGCTGCACTAAGTTCATTCTGAGTTTGGGGGCTCCTTCCTTTCAGTAGCCATTACCCATAGGTGGCTATGTAGATTAAAGTACATAAAATCAGGAATTCCATTTCTTAGGCACACTGGTCCCATTTCAAGAGCTCTATAGCTGCATGTGGCTAGTGGCTGTACTACTGGCTAGAGCAGACACGTAGTGATACGTAGGCCAACACAGCAGAATTTCTTTTTTTTTTTTTTTTTTTTTTT